AGTACTATTCATTATTATAATGGTGAATAACAAGATTCTCCATTCATATAATATGGTGTGGGAAATTGAATCTCATAGGGGGACCCCTTGGTTTGTTTCCTACCCTTATACCATTGGGGATCCCTCACTTCTAAGTGAGTTATTGGGATATTGGTGTGATAAGATATATGTCATATATAGAGGTAGATACGACACCTAAAATTATGGGGAGCTGCTATATCTATGATGGACATCCATTATAACATAGCACAACTTAGATTATGCTTATCCATGGATTTCCCAGTGAGATATCAAGTGATCATTGAGTTTGATCAAATTTGACACAGGAAAACTAGAGAAAAACGGTGTAATATCAGAGTCTCAAGATATAAGACCATGATCACATCAGATCATATGAACACTAGGTTATGATCTACCTACCAGTACAAGAATCATCTGACTTGATGCAGGATTGGTAGAGATACTGCAGCATCAATGTAGGTGATGAAACATCATCAGATGATATAGCTACACTAATGGCATTTGATTGTCCAGGATATTGATCTTATTACTTAGGCACCCTTGGTAGTGCTTCAATCACCTTTATAGGTTGTTTACTCAGTGATATATCACTGTAATAAGTGTAGATCAGCCAATCATTGGTTAATACCAGCACAATTATTCAGCTGCAACTATAGGTCACTTAATGAAAGTTGTTTGTATAGTCAAAATACACAACTTTGTTTTGTGACGATCTGTGACATTCCCTGATGATTGTACAGTCAAACGGCGAAAATTTCCTTTTTGGGACATCTGTCACCCTATGTGACACCTGTAACAGCGTGACTCGGGCGCTGAGTCCAACCCAAGTCTCTAGAGGCTTGAATTATTCATTATTATTCATAACATTGTATACTTGGATGATAGCCTCTTCGTGACATCACATACCAGTGTCACATCTTGTTGTCCGAGTCCTATAGTGCCAGAATTATTCATAATTATCTATACCCAATGGACTTAGAGTGAAAAAACCTTGAAAGTTGAAATTATTCATTTCGCTTTTCAATAATTATTCATTACTATGGCGGAGAAAAAAACGGCCGTGAATTGTCTGCTCCAACCCGCCGGGGTGGACCCGACAATTCACGGTGGGTACTGGGCTGCACAGGTGGGACGCGGTCACCTCGGAACCGGTCCTGGCGATTCCGGACGACGCACGGCCTTTCCGACTCGAGGCGGACAGCTCTGATTATGCGACGGGGGCGGTTCTTTCACAATCCGCCCCGGGCCCCGGACGGGAAGTGGCACCCTGTAGCATTCTATTCCAAAAGCTTAAATGATGTCCAGCGCAACTACGAAGTCCACGACAAGGAGATGCTCGCGATCATCCGCGCACTCGAGGAGTATAGACACTTCCTTGAGGGCGCCGCGCACCCTGTCGAGATTTGGACTGACCATAAGAATTTGGAGTACTTCAGGAAGACGCAGCACCTCAACCGGAGACAGGCCCGGTGGTCTCTGTACCTCTCCCGGTTCGACTTCACGCTGCACCACAAGCCTGGCCGCGATATGGGTCGGCCTGACGCCCTCTCCCGGAGACCCGACCACGGAGTCGATTCCGACAACTCCGATGTCGTCCTTCTGCGGCCTGAACTCTTCCACGTCCGCGCACTCGAGGGCGTTTCCGTTTCCGGTCCTGGCTCTGAACTCCTCCGCGACATCCGTGATGCCCTCTCCGGTGAGCCTGACCTGGAGGAGCCCGTCGCACTAGCGGCCCGGCAACTTCTTAAGGTCCAAGGTCAAGCTCGAGGCCCCCGCTCCTCACGGTCTGACGAGTGGGCTGTCTCCGGCGGTCTTCTCCATTTCCGAGGGAAGATCGTTGTACCAAAGGACAAGGACCTCCGGAGACGCATCATCGAGCTCTGCCATGACACCCGAGTCGCTGGACATGCAGGTCGTTTCAAGACCCTGGAGTTGGTCTCCCGGAACTACTGGTGGCCTCAGATGTCTCGCCATATCGGCCGGTACGTTGCGACCTGTGACTTGTGCTGTCGCACCAAGGCACTCCGGAGACTGCCCCACGGAGAGCTGCACCCCACGGAAACGCCCCCGGAACGCTGGCATACCGTCTCCGTCGACTTCATCGTAGAGCTTCCCGAAGCCCATGGGTACGACGCGATCATGGTCGTCGTTGACACCCTCGGAAAGCGCGCCCACTTCTCAGAGTGTCATACGACGGTCGATGCAGTAGGGGCAGCCCGCCTCTACTACCGGAATGTCTGGCGGCACCATGGGACTCCGGAGAAGTACGTCTCCGACCGCGGCTCGCAGTTCATCGCGGACTTCACCCGAGAACTTTGGCGTCTAATCGGCATCAAGCCCGCCACGTCCACCGCGTACCACCCGCAGACAGACGGTCAGACAGAGCGCGTCAACCAGGAGCTGGAGCAGTACTTGCGGATCTTCACCAACTACCAGCAGGACGACTGGGATGAGCTGATTCCGGCCGCGGAGTTCGCCTACAACAACCATGTTCACTCCTCCACGCAGCAGGTCCCCTTCATGACGGACACGGGACGGCTCCCGCGCATGGGCTTCGAACCCGGAGTCCGTTCCGCCATGGAGTCAGTGAACGAGTTCCGCGACCGGATCGCCACTGGTGTTGCTGAAGCCAAGGCCGCTCACTAAGGCCAAAGAGGAGTACAAGCGCTACTACGACCGGAGACGGACTCCGTCTCCGGAGTTTAAGGTTGGCGACCGTGTTTGGCTGGATGCCTCTGACATCAGGACGACTCGCCCCTCGGAAAAGTTCTCCCATCGCCGCCTTGGACCGTTCAAGATAGTCGCGGAGATCAGCAAAGGTGCCTACAAGCTCGACCTCCCTCCGCGCTACTCGAAGCTCCACCCGGTCTTCCCCGTCGTCAAGCTCGAGCTCGCCCAGGACGACCCCTTCGACGGACGCCCCGGCTACGACCAGCCCCCTCCGGACCTCGAGGACGGAGTCCCGGAGTGGGAAGTAGAGGAAATCCTGGACGCAAGGGTGAGGTATAAACGGCTGAACTACTTCGTCAGATGGAAAGGCTACGACGCATCGCACGACCAATGGGTCCGCTTCGACCGCGTCTTCGCCCCGGAGAAAATTGCGGAGTTCTATCGTAAGTACCCTGGCAAGCCACGACACATCGCCTCTGCGACCTTCAACTCGATTCCGTTCCGGTCTATGCGTCGGGACGCCGCATTCAAAGGGGGGGGTGATGTCAGGGGAACCTCCCTTCCGGCCCGGAGACGCGCCCGATTCCGGTCCGACTCCGGTTCCGACTCCGGTCCGGCCCTCCATCTCGCCCGCACAATCACCGATCCGTCAACGCCCTCCCGACGGTCGCCCTGGGACCTCGCCTGCGACGCCGCCCAAGCCTTCTGTGCCCGACAGCGGCAGCTACGGACAAGCAGTATATAGTCAGCTACCTAGCAGGCAGACCCTTAGAGTTTCTTCTCTTTGGATCCTCCCCTGCTAGGTCAGCTTCATTTGTATTCGCTTACCAATGTTCACTCTTTGGATCCTCCCCTGCTAGGACCTTGATCTCAGGCCTCCGGGGTTGCCCTTACAAGGTCACCTATGTTGACATTCTGACCATTGCGGACCAATGGGAAATTTGTGCTGCACAGTGGTATGCAATCGATGCCCTCCCCCCCCAGAGACAACTCCAGTCCAATTCTGATTCTCGTCCAACCCCCGCTCAAGCCCACACTATCACAGATCTGCCAATGCCCTCCTGACAGTCACCCTAGGACCTTGCCTGTGATACCACCTAGGCCTTCTGTGACAGCAGCAGCTACAGAGAAGCAGTATATTATCAGCTTCCTAGCAGGTGGACCCTTAGAGTTTCTTCTCTTGGGATCCTCCCCTGCTAGGAGCCTAGGACCTTGATTTCAGACCTCTGGGGTTGCCCTGGCCCCTTACACAGAGCCTCTAGGGTTGTTCTTACGCTTACAATCAGGCCTGACAAGTACCCAGTGGGGCAGCAGCCCAACACACACTCACAAAGGTAAAATATCACACTGACTTGCACACAGAAACACTGTGTCAAACCAGAGCCAACCCAATTGAGGCAGCTATTCCGGCCTGCTAAACTGCTCCAATCGAGTTCATTCCGATTTAATGTGCAATATCTGTGTGCTGAAGTTTCAGTGCTGGTTGATATTTTACCTTTGTCAGTGTGACAGCCTAAGCTAAACTGTGCCACTACAAGAGTGATATGCATACTAATTTCATACCAATTAGGTCTATGTTTAGTGTTTTATTTTTTCATTTATCAGGGCTTTGAAGAAGCACTCATTCTTTGTTATTTTTCAAAAATAGGTTCTGCTTTGTGGACTCTCTTTTGTCCAAAATCCTGGTGTGAGACTCACCAATGATGATGATGCAAATTTTGGACTGAAAATTGTCTATCATAAACATGTGCCATTTTTTTTTTGTTTGATCCAGCTCTGCAGTGCTGAAATTCCTAAATGGAAAGGACACAACAAAATATTTGGGCTTATCAGTTATCACATAGTTAGGGAATCATGCATTACTTCAAACTTGAGTATCAAGGAAATAAAATTATGAAATGTGCAGTTACTGTAGAGAAAGATTAAATTATTTACCTTGATCTGGAGGTCAACATCATCATTCAGATCAAAAGATTGCCCTGTCGGAATGAAAAACTTAGTCGGCGCAGGCTATATATAGTAACCTAAATACATAATCTTTTCTTTTGCAATTTTGCATAAGTACTTGCATTGCGGATGTCTTTTTTGAAGACACGAACAGTTCTCGTTCTGACATCTCTATATCGACAGCTTATCTTACTGGAAATGGTCGTTCACATTGAGTACTGGAAGTTGGCGAGGCAGATCCGGGCCTGAGTCTGAGTCACTGACCAATCGATTGATGACAGGCGTATTTGACAACTGTCGCCGAACCGCGTGGTATCGATCCCTTAAGACAGGCCACAGCTTGGCTCTCACCACGACCCGCAATGGCCCCAAACCTCTTTGCCTGCGACGCCTGCGCGAAGCCGATCCCGCCCGCCGACCCCCGTGTCCGCTGCCTCGATGCCGCATGCCCCGAGTATGACCTCTGCGCTGTGTGTGCCCTCGGGGAGCGGTTTACGGGACAACACACCGTCGAGCACGAAACGGTCGTCTACCGTCCCAGCGGCGGCGGCCACGTGCAGGCGGGCATATCCGCGCTCGCCATAGTGCGCGGCGGATCAGGCGCATCGGGGCCAGGCTTTGCTCCGCCGCCGAAACGCGCCTCGACATCCGGAGTGCCCCCGCCCCCGCCTCCCCGCCCGGCGGGCCACGGTCGGGTTCCGTCAACCGGCCCGGGGTCCCCTCGGCCGACACACACTCCACGCCCGAGTTCGACGTTCCAGCCATCGCCAGGCGTTAGCCAGGGCGGTACTTCCGCCGGAGGGACATCGGCCCCCGGGCCGCCGCCACAGACACCCCGAGCGGATGGCGGTGGCTGGGGTCCGTTTTTCGCACCCGACATGTCGCACCTACCGCCGTATCTTAAGATGACCGAAGCCATCTTCGCCTACCTGGACACGGGTCGCACGGGCTACCTCGTGCCAGAAGCCTACTCCCACTTCCTCAACGACCAGAACTACGTCGGGCAGGAGAACGTGTGGAACAACAACCTGGTCGGGGGGTTTGGGCAGACGAAGGAGGACGCTGCCGACGCCGCGTTGATGCGCGCCTACGACCTTTTCAGCATCGAATACATCCTCCGTCCGCGGCCCCGAAACCCAAACGCACCGGTTGACCCGCTCACACGCCAACTCCGCGCATCACTCGGCGGGCTGGCGGATCAAATGGTCCCCCCGCCCGCCTCCGGTGGCGTCATGCCGCTGCTTACGCTGAAAGGCTTCGCCGAGATCACCGCGATCGAGATCCTCGCGGACCCGTCGCGCGGCTGGGGCAACCTCTCCCGCGTGCTCAAGATGTACGGGCTCGAGGCCGCGCTCGGCTGGGGGCCGCTCCCACGCAGTGTGTTACCGGAGGACCCGGATCAGCGGGTGTTGGCCCGGGCCGCGCGAGTGCAGGCGACGGCTGAGGAGCGCGCGGAACGGGAATTGCAGGCGGAGTATACGAAGAACCGCATCGCGAAACAGGGCCGCGAGTATGCGTTGGCGCTGCTGGATGACCGGCGATATGTATATTAGCCTATGTGTTTGGCTTTTTGTATTTGGGGGTCACGGACATTGTCTGGCTAAATCTGTTTCCTTGGATAAATGTTTGAAGTATTGGGTAGTGAACCCGAGTTGTGCCAGGCGGATAATATCAGCGCCGGACTGCCATCATCGATGGTTGGGATTTTCTTCTCTAATGTTCCATCATTTCCATTGGCTCATTTAGCGACTATATTGCTCAATGAGCCGGATAATGCATATCAATAATCCGGTTTCCCCATCCGATCCCGATCCCCAGGCTCTTCAGGGTCAAGTTCACTAATTCTTAATATATTCGCATAATTTGGAAAGAAAGCTTTTGAATTTTTCTCGGCGAGTCGGCGACTTGTTCAACGGCACTTTGATGCCATCCGCCGCAAAAATACCAAGGGGAAAGAAAGACAGAGTCCCGGACTCGAACGGCCGATCGTCTGGGGACAAAACTCTGAGTCTGAGCAGTCACGAGGACTTCGATTGCTTGCTGTTGACATCCACGAGTCACCCTGACCGCACTTCGGCGGTATGGCTCCCGCTGAATGACTCATCCTCCACTGACTTAAGATATGGCTCCTCACGACACCAGCATGGATTCACCGCCCAGCCCTCGCCAGAAACTCGCATCGCTCCGTCTAGAAGCGGACCAGCTTCAAGCTCGGCTGGCGGCTATTGCTGCTGAAGAGTCTGCGCTCATTGCTGCAGTCCTGTCCGCGGTAATTGAGGGGCTTCCCTCCGAAATGCTTGCCGAAATCTTCGTCTGGTACAGTCGAATCGCCGACTGTGGGCCCCCTGTTCTTCTCGCACTCGTCTGTCGCCGATGGCGCGATGTCGTCTTCAACACCCCCATGCTTTGGACCCGTATCGATTTTGGAGAACGGGGTAATACGAAGACAGCTATACAGAACAGGTTGCACCGTTCTGGGTCGACTGCGCTCGATGTGCGCTTTGCTGGAATTCAAGAATGGCCCAGCGCCGCGGCAGATAACGAAAACGACGGATTTGAAGCGCTTGTGGATCAGTCGCACCGTTGGCACTCCTGCGTTGTCGACTATCGCGAAGGCAACCATCATGTTTTCGCCCGTTCAAAGCCCCTGGCGTTAGTGTCCCTGGAAAAACTTGTCATCAACGCCCTGGAGTGGAACGAACTGTATGATCTCAACCCCGAGAGCTCCCGCCGGATTACCGCCTTCCGCAATGCGCCGATCCTCCGGAACCTCACCTTGTGGCAGCTCCCCAAAGCCCAGCTGGACCTTCCGTGGACACAGATAACCGAACTAGAGCTTTTGGGGTATTGGCCCAAGGATATGCTAACGCTGCTGTGCGCGACCACCAGATTGGCAGTGCTTACATACGCACCGCTCTCTTGGGTGGGCACGGACAACGAGACCAGGCCAGATTCCTCCATGATTGTTCTCCCACATCTACACACCTTGTGGCTTGTCGCCGATGATGAGACCTCTCTCCTCCCATCCCTTACCCTCCCCTCGCTCCGGTACATCGCCTTGCAGGCGAGCGAAGTCGGAATTGCGCGGCTGCAGGATCTAGCGGAGCGTTCCGGCTTCCGCACAAATGGCACGTTCCGCGAGCTCAACATTACAACCACGCTTGCCAACCTGTGCCTCCTCCTGCCGCATCTCCAGCGCAGCCTCGAAATCCTGAGATTGTCCTACCTCAAGTGCACCAGCGCCCAGCTTGATGCGTTTTTCCGGGAGATGAAGACAGACAACGGCATTCTACCTGCTCTGACCACGCTGCGCTTGTATTCCCTTTCCAAAACCGTCGACATTCGGCTCGGGACTGTCCTCCAGCTTCTGCGCGCCCGCTCCGGCACTGATGGAGCCGCAGCACTCAAAGTGTTCACAGTCGAATATGACGAATCCCGCGCGGACGCCGAAGAGGCAGCCGGTGTCGCATGGGATGCGCAGTATAATCTGCAGGCAATCGAGAAACTCTGTGTCGAGACGGGTGTGCGCTTTGCAATGACAAACGCTGAGCTGCCGAATTAATGAGGAACAATGAGATGATGTTCTAGTATGTCCTACCACCATGTTTTATTTAGCATTCCAGCTATGTGACAAGTCTTGCATAAGCAATAGAGATGAATTGTAGGAGTGGTAGTGCTGTCCACAATTATATTATGCCAGGATATATTTTGAATACAGTACATTCAAATAAATATGAGATGTATGCCTCCTGCATATCCAATAGAAAATTATGAATATGAATAAATATAATTATAATTATATATATTATGCCAATGTCATATTTATTATATATTCAGTGATGGCATCACCTGTTCAAGGCCTTGATAAGCCAGTTTATTCTACAAGAAACATACTCTAAAGGATTTCTTTAGAGACTAGTTATATGACTTGACCCCTACAAACCAGTGGCCCTTCATTTCAAACAGTTCACGACTAATGTCCCCATTTTACGTCACACAATGATAAAATGAGTTGACTTGGAATAGTTGTTTTAATATATTCTGGCACCACTGAATCCTACTAAAATCATTTTTCAAGTTAAAAGAATATAATAGCCAACAGCACTCTAGGGAACACTCTGATGGGTTGATCATAATTTAATGAATTTAAGATTATGAATACATCATATTAGGCTCCCAGTAATAAGAATATATTGTACAAAATATCTATTCATAATCATAATTAGACAGCACTAATTACAGGAACACCTGCACGTATATAGAACTACATACATATACTGTAATAATTTATTCAATTCGGCGGCGAAAAACTGCGTGACATTGGCGCTGAAATGAAAATTTCCGGCACTGCCTGGTAATCTGTGTGACTGCCGAAAAAATTCGGCATATTCAGCGGCCCGGAGGGCCGCCGGAGAAATTTTGATGCTCTGATGGCCGTCTGACATTCAGCATCTGAATAATAAGTTGTGACATGCTGAAATATTTCGGCGCCGGAGGTCTGGTGTGACGCGTGACCGCCGAATTGAATAAATTGATACAGTAGTACAGGCTGTAATTGATACAGAGGATGACCCTACTAAGGGCCTACTTGCTACTGAGTCTGTAAACATTATTTGTACCTACAACTCTTCTTGACTCTTGAATGAAATGTTGATCACCAGAGAGACTTTTGATAATGACCAGTAAATAAATAATTGTTGAAAAAAAGAATGAATAATTTAGACTTTTCAAAACTAGGGAAGAGCTACCTGTTTGTCCAAGGGGGTCCCAGCTTTCAATATATATATATATATATATATACTGTGGAAAGGTTTTTGTTCAGGCCATCTGGGACCCTCCATTTACCATATCAGGTAATCTTATATATTAAAACACAATGGGTCACTGATTCTTGCACAGAAACCCTTTGTTTCTGTGCAAGAATCAGTGAGCCATAAATTGCCACTTTCAATAGCGCGGAAACTAGTGCTGATAGGCATAGTTAGCCGTTTCAGGTTAGAAGAAAGAAGGGGTTTTGTTGGAGCTGATTTTTGTACATGTTTGTCCAAATTCTGAGTAGGTTTCTGCTCAATTAAAACTTTGCATTTAAGTCGGCCTAATTCTACTTCAGATTGGTCTAAAATCAATTACAGTTTCTGTTCGAGCTGATATTTTGCTTTTTCCGGTGTGATATATGTATATTCTCATGATCACACATCACGTGACCTAGTGATGTGATAAAAGCAGCAATAAATTCATATTTCCAGTTAAATTCATACTATAGATAGGCCTTGAGCCCTCACAGAGTCACTAGTAGGCCATCCAAGGCTATATATGTAATTAATGAGCAATGATAAACTTATGACACCAGTCACACTGCACCCCAAGTAAGGTATTGAAAGCCTTCCCATGGGAAAGTAGTAGGGCATTCTGTATACCTACTTTGTATTGCATGCTAAAATACTACAAATGTAGTGCAAAGCCACCATCAGACTTACCAGTCCCCCCCCAAACTATTATATAGCAAAAGTTCTTTTCACCATCCCTCCCCTACCCTATATCCATCATAAGCATCTTGGGACTGTCAGACTGCGGGTCGGGCCGTACAAGGTCCTCTCCTAAGAATGCGCGCCCAGAACAGAACAGACGGATAGTCAGGCCCGCGAGTATGGCGAGCGGGATAGATCGAAACCGAAAGGGCCCGGGAACTTGGTCCTTTGTCGTCAGCGGTGGTCGAAGGTTCGAATCGGGTCGTGTCGGGCCCGATAAGTTGCTGGCACCTCCTTGCACGGAGTAAGGTAGTTCTTCAGATGATCTAAGCGATAGAGTACATGGTACACTATCGTGCCTTATATATGCTGGCCTGCAAAGGGGGGTAATCGGGCACCCTGGCCCCTCCTCCTCCTCCTCTCTCCCGTTCCTGGCTGCAGAGGGGATGATTGGACATCCCTTGCAGGCCAGGCGCTAGTCCTAACCTCCTAGCACTCCTCCCCAACCCCTGGTGTCGAGTTGGGTTTGGCAACGGCTCGACGCGTCGTTCTCGGTCATGTACTTCTCATGTGTGCGTTCCTCCTACTGGGGCACATGTTCCCCGTTGTCACGTGCTGCGTGTTACAGGCCCGCGGTGGCCCGACACCAGTGCCGGAGAGGACGGGCCGGGTCTTATCCATGACAGGGACCCCCTTGTGTTTGTCCCACAAATGACTGTCAATTCACAGTGTTGACCCGGCCGGAAACCACTTGATTTGTCAAATGTGTTAAAAACCCAAAAATATATCATTTGCATAAGGAATCAATGAATCATCACACCTTACATAGTTGACCCTGCTGTAAGGGCAACCCCGGAGGCCTGAGATCAAGGTCCTAGCAGGGGAGGATCCAAAGCGTGAACATTGGTAAGCGAATACAAATGAAGCTGACCTAGCAGGGGAGGATCCAAAGAGAAGAAACTCTAAGGGTCCGCCTGCTAGGTAGCTGACTATATACTGCTTGTCCGTAGCTGCCGCTGTCGGGCACAGAAGGCTTGGGCGGCGTCGCAGGCGAGGTCCCAGGGCGACCGTCGGGAGGGCGTTGACGGATCGGTGATTGTGCGGGCGAGATGGAGGGCCGGACCGGAGACGGAACCGAGTCGGACCGGAATCGGAGGCGTCTCCGAGGGGCCGAAAGGGAGGTTCCCCTGACATCACCCCCCCTTTGAATGCGGCGTCCCGGCGCATAGACCGGAACGGAATCGAGTCGAAGGTCGCGGAGGCGATGTGTCGTGGCCTTGCCAGGGTACTTACGATAGAACTCCGCAATTTTCTCCGGGCGAAGACGCGGTCGAAGCGGACCCATTGGTCGTGCGATGCGTCGTAGCCTTTCCATCTGACGAAGTAGTTCAGCCGCTTATACCTCACCCTTGCGTCCAGGATTTCCTCTACTTCCCACTCCGGGACTCCGTCCTCGAGGTCCGGAGGGGGCTGGTCGTAGCCGGGGCGTCCGTCGAAGGGGTCGTCCTGAGCGAGCTCGAGCTTGACGACGGGGAAGACCGGGTGGAGCTTCGAGTAGCGCGGAGGGAGGTCGAGCTTGTAGGCACCTTTGCTGATCTCCTGACTATCTTGAACGGTCCAAGGCGGCGATGGGAGAACTTTTCCGAGGGGCGAGTCGTCCTGATGTCAGAGGCATCCAGCCAAACACGGTCGCCAACCTTAAACTCCGGAGACGGAGTCCGTCTCCGGTCGTAGTAGCGCTTGTACTCCTCTTTGGCCTTAGTGAGCGCGGCCTTGGCTTCAGCAACACCAGTGGCGATCCGGTCGCGGAACTCGTTCACTGACTCCATGGCGGAACGGACTCCGGGTTCGAAGCCCATGCGCGGGAGCCGTCCTGTGTCCGTCATGAAGGGGACCTGCTGCGTGGAGGAGTGAACGTGGTTGTTGTAGGCGAACTCCGCGGCCGGAATCAGCTCATCCCAGTCGTCCTGCTGGTAGTTGGTGAAGATCCGCAAGTACTGCTCCAGCTCCTGGTTGACGCGCTCTGTCTGACCGTCTGTCTGCGGGTGGTACGGGTGGACGTGGCGGGCTTGATGCCGATTAGACGCCAAAGTTCTCGGGTGAAGTCCGCGATGAACTGCGAGCCGCGGTCGGAGACGTACTTCTCCGGAGTCCCATGGTGCCGCCAGACATTCCGGTAGTAGAGGCGGGCTGCCCCTACTGCATCGACCGTCGTATGACACTCTGAGAAGTGGGCGCGCTTTCCGAGGGTGTCAACGACGACCATGATCGCGTCGTACCCATGGGCTTCGGGAAGCTCTACGATGAAGTCGACGGAGACGGTATGCCAGCGTTCCGGAGGCGTTTCCGTGGGGTGCAGTTCTCCGTGGGGCAGTCTCCTGGGAGTGCCTTGGTGCGACAGCACAAGTCACAGGTCGCAACATACCGGCCGATATGGCGAGACATCTGAGGCCACCAGTAGTTCCGGGAGACCAACTCCAGGGTCTTGAAACGACCTGCGTGTCCGGCGACTCGGGTGTCATGGCAGAGCTCGATGATGCGTCTCCGGAGGTCCTTGTCTTTTGGTACGACGATCTTTCCTCGGAAATGGAGAAGACCGCCGGAGACGGCCCACTCGTCAGAACGTGAGGAGCGGGGGCCTCGAGCTTGACCTTGAACCTTAAGAAGTTGCCGGGCCGCTAGTGCGATGGGCTCCTCCAGGTCAGGCTCACCGGAGAGGGCATCACGGATGTCACGGAGGAGTTCAGAGCCGGGACCGGAAACGGAAACGCCCTCGAGTGCGCGGACGTGGAAGAGTTCAGGCCGCAGAAGGACGACATCGGAGTTGTCGGAATCGACTCCGTGGTCGGGTCTCCGGGAGAGGGCGTCAGGCCGACCCATATCGCGGCCAGGCTTGTGGTGCAGCGTGAAGTCAAACCGGGAGAGGTACAGAGACCACCGGGCCTGTCTCCGGTTGAGGTGTTGCGTCTTCCTGAAGTACTCCAAATTCTTATGGTCAGTCCAAATCTCGACAGGGTGCGCGGCGCCCTCGAGGAAGTGTCTATACTCCTCGAGTGTGCGGATGATCGCGAGCATCTCCTTGTCGTGGATTTCG